ACTTACCCTTAAATATTTGTTCTTTTTGGTGCTATTGTATATATAATACCACTTGTTCTTCAATTCTCAGATGGTTCACTGTTAGATTAAAAAACAAGTGGTTTTCTTCTGTTACCTGATATCTTTGCTGAATTTGTTTAATGTTCTTATATGGCATCATGAAACCTCCCCGTCACCTACATGTACAATTTTATAATCTATGATCAAGGATTGTGGTCCTTCTTCCTACCTGGGATGCATTGTCTCAAGTGAGCTGTGTTCCTGTGTCTCACAGACATGATCACACTTCTACAACACTCACAACCAAGAGCCTCCAGTGTGTCCAGCATATTCCATTGGAGTTCAGGTTTTTGTGAGAAGGATGACCCTGCTCACCCACATAAGAAACAATGCCATTGGGTAACTCAATTCAGTGGCTGCTGGGCTTTGCCCTACACCCTATGCCCCTGGACATGAGGTCATGCCAGCTCCAGAACAGTTTCAACCCACTGACAACTACCTCTACAACTTGGGAAGTTGAAATTGAGATTTGTTCAGTGTGATGACATAATTCAACAGTTTCTTTTGTTTTCATTTTGGGAATAAACAAAAACATCCAGGAATTATATATGAGGCTGATACTCAGTATTTTACATATGTCATCTGAAACATAAATTCTGTGGCTTGTGTTTCCTTAGGTAACATCCTGTCATACCATGAGGGGTGATGTAACCATTCAGGTATGGGAGTTTCACCAACACCAAACAAACCCAGGCCATCCTCTGCCCAAATGAGCTTTCCCAAGTCAACAGTCTGAGTCACAATGACCCCAATGAGTCATCACTCTTCCTAAACTGACTAGCTTTGCATTTCCCACCATACCTAGGGAAAGAAAAGCACAGAGCTAGGAATGGCTTTAGTTGTCAGTGTTGGTCTTCATTCCAGTGAACCCAGGCAGTTGAAGCCAGCAAAAGGAAGGGCACAACAGGATAGTCCAAGTGAGACATGCTCAGGTTCCATTTGTTTTCTTCCAGAGGAGTCCAAAGGACAGTGATTAACTATCTGTTGACATGTGAACAGAGAATTGTGAATCTGGGAACACTGCTGGCCAATGACAGCCAGGGACTCAGTTCCACCTTCCTGTTGTAGACATGGCACATCATGCAGCTGACATGGATTCCAAGACCCCAGTCCCCATGGAAGTCACACTGATCTTACAGGACACAAGTGCTCACGTGGCTGAGGGGCCATGGACCGAGGATGAAGGGAAGCAAACAGTGCTAGCAGGCAGATGTTACCAGAGCATCCAGGTCATCTCCCATGAGATGGTGACAGACCAGGAACCTGTACAACATACAATGTGTGACACCCCTCACCTGCTCGGTGCACTTACCTCTCAGGGCCTCACTCAGCCTGAAGTAGGAAGATCAGACCCAGTCGGCACCATTGCTTCTCTTTCACATCATCATACGTGACACACAGAAGAGAGGTGGAGACCTGAGGAGAGGCAGAAGGTGTGACAACTAGCATCCAGGCCTAGCCACTAGGTCTCTGAAGTTATCCTGGGAAGGTCCTGGAACAAACCAGGAGGAAGCCACCAGCCTGAGCCTATGAGTGACCAGAGCACAGTTGTCTCTGTCCCTCCCCTCCTGACTGTGACCCAGGCTGGTGTCCTGACTCACATTCAGGGCACAATTCAGTCACATGGAGCTGGACAAAGATCTTTGTCTGTGGTCTAACCTAGAACGCCGTCCTGTGTAACTGGGTTTTGCATGGCCAGGAGTCATGGAGAGGAACAGGAAGCAGACTTGGGTCTTCAGGACGCCAACAAGCATGGAGTCCTCCACAGGTCCTGATGACACAGATGTGGGCAGAGAAGGGGGCAGCAGGGTCAGTCGAGAGGAGATGACCCAGGGTCTAGTCCTTGCTGAGGGCTGCATGGTGTGAATCTGGCTCTAACTCAGCTGCTGCCTCCCTTCTGCCACACTGGAGGGGCAGCAGAGAGCACCTGCCTGGATTCCACAGGGACTTCTGAGCCTTTGACCTTCACAGCTCTGGATCCCTAGCAAGGACAGGAACTGCAGCTTTGTTGACCCCAGGAGTTATGACTTGGTACATACAGTGTGCCCAGACCCAAAATGCCATTTGTTGGAAGGCTTGGAAGTCATCTTGCATTTCCCCCATGGCTGCCCATACTAACCACAGACCTCTGGCATGAGTAGAAACAAATGGTAAATAAAGGAAAGAGATCACCATGTGACCAGCAGCTCACCTCACCTAAGGGTCACCAGTGACAATCTCACAGCTGTTGGCATTTCTCAGCACTCTTGGATCTGAAGGAAGAAGGGCCCAGGTTCTGAGTCAGGCCTTCCTGGTCAATTCTGCAACCTCACACCTGTCCACAAAACTCAAGAGGCTGGAGCCACCACCCTCTTCCTGCCCCTAATTCACCACAAAGCCAAAAACGGGAATTTACTCTTTTTATTTTTTAATTTTTTTTTAATTTTATCGAGCTATATATTTTCTGCTCACCTCCCTTCTTGTCCCCTCCCCTTCTGCCCTCTCCCATGGTTCCTTTGCTCTCAATTTACTCAGGAGATCTTGTCTTTTTCAACTTCCCATGTAGATCAGATCTATGTATGTCTCTCTTACGGTCCTCATTGTTATCTAGCTTCTCTGGGACTGAATTGCAGGCTGGTTTTTTCTTTGCTTTATGTCTAAAAGCCACTTATGAGTGAGTACATATGATAATTGTCTTTTTGGGTCTGGGTTACCTCACTCAATCTGATGTTTTCTAGATCTATCTTTTGCATACAAATTTCAAGATGTCATTTTTTTCTGCTGTTTAGTACTCCCATTTTGTAAATGTACCACATTTTCCTTATCCATTCTTTGGTCGAGGGACATTTAGATTGTTTTCAGGTTCTGGCTATGACAAACAATGCTGTTATGAACATAGTTGAGCACATATCTTTGTGATACTATTGAGTATCCTTTGGATATATACCCAAAACTGGTATTGCTGGATCTAGAGGTAGGTTGTTTTCTAATTTTCTGAGAAATTGCCATACTGATATCGAAAGGAGCTATACCAGCTTGCACTCCTACCAGCAGTGGAGGAGTGTTCCCTTTATCCCACATCCTCTCCAGCATAAGTTGTCATCAGTGTTTTTGATTTTGATCATTCTTACAGGTGTAAGATAGAATCTCAGAGTTGTTTTGATTCACATTTCTTTGATGGCTAAGGATGTTGAACATTTCCTTAAGTGTCTTTCAGCCATTTTAGATTCCTCTGTTGAGAGTTCTCTGTTTTGGTCTGTATTCCTTTTTTGTTTTTTCTGTTTAACTTGTTCTTTTGATGACCAATTTCTTGAGTTCTTTGCATATTTAGGAGATCAGACCTCTGTCTGATGTGGGATTAGTGAAGATATTTTCCCATTCTGTAGGCTGCCATTTTGTCTTGTTGACTATGTCCTTTGCTTTTCAGAAGCTTCTCAGTTTCAGAAGGTCCCATTTATTAATTGTTTCTCTCAGTGTCTGTGGTAATTGGGTTATATTTAGGAAGTGGTCTCCTGTGCCAGTGTGTTCAAGTGTACTTCCCAGTTTTTCTACAATGAGGTTCATTGTGGTTTGTTTTATGTTGAAGTCTTTTATCCATTTGGATTTAACTTTTGTGCATGGTGATAGATATGGATCTATTTTCATTCTTCTACATGTTGATATCCAGCTATGAAAACACCATTTGTTGAATATGCTTTCTTTTTTCCATTTGATATTTTTTGCTTCTTTGTCAGAAATCAGGGTTTGTAGGTGTATTGGTTGATATCTGGGTCTTCAATTCAGTTCCATTTTTCCTTCTTTCTCTTTTCACACCAATACGAGGCTGTTTTCAGTACTGAGGCTCTGTAGTAGAGTTTGAAGCCAGGGTTTGTGATGCAGAGGCCATGTGTCCTAAAGTGCTGTATTTATTTATTTATTTATTTATTTATTATTTATTAAAGATTCCTGCCTCCTCCCCGCCACTGCCTCCCATTTCCCTCCCCCTCTCCCGGTCAAGTCCCCCTCCCTCGTCAGCCCAAAGAGCAATCAGGGTTCCCTCCCCTGTGGGAAGTCCAACGACCACCCACCTCCAGTATTTTTGTGTCCTGTCGACAAAGCGCTCCTTGTGCCTCCATGGTGGTATTTGCTATGTCTGTTGCAATGTTCACAAGTCCCTCAAAACTGCCTGTGTAGCACGATGGAAACACCCAATCCATCCCCAGTATGATAACGGTGGACACAGGGATCCACCCAGCAGGAAGTAAAGGATGAATAAAATTAGACGGTGGCCTCCTTGTGACAAGCACCTGGACATCCTGCTGGTCTCTTCAGAAATCTCTTAATAGTTGTAGACAGTTTCCTAGCTTTTTCAGATCAGAGCTAAGAAGTTTCCAGGTTATGACATTGGCCTTTCTCGTGCATTGAGTGAGCTCACACCTGTACTCATGGCTCCCCGGACTGGAGCTGTCCTCCCCACGCTGCCTCTCACTCACCCTCATTGGCTAGCCACACATGCCACTTCAGTGACCCTTGCTATGCAGTGACAAGAGCCTGCAGAGTCAGTCACACCTCCTGTCCTATGAGTCGAGTATTCAATGGAGCATCAAACATGTCCTCGTTCATTCTGAGACAATGGCCTCAGGCCCCCAGAGCTCTTCCAGTGGCGCACATCGCTGACTGACTTTGCTATACCTTGTGATCCTGCACCTTGAGGCAGGGGTCACTGGTGCTCTGCCCACAGTGCTCACAGTGCCAAAGGCTACATAACCATTGTGGTCAGTTCCCTGAGGAGAAGCTGAAGCTAGTCCCATGGATAAGTACCCATCAAGAGAAGAGAGGGCAAGAACCTCTGAGCCTGACTTGCCCTGGACTTGCCCAACCTCTTGCAACACAACCTGACTGAACAGTAAACACAGCTATTTGGCTCAAGGCAGAGAACAAAGTGCAGCCTTCTCCCCTTCATAAGGGACCAGGTGCCCAGTTTGTCTTCAGAGTGTCTTTCCTGATCCTAGGTTTCTGGATCAGGGATTCCCATAACCAGCCTGGGGAGCAGGGGCAGCCATGGTACTGCTGACTGGAGATGTCTTGTGGTCTGTGGTCCTATTCACAGCCATCTTCCTATTCCTGGTGGACCTGATGCATCGACGCAAGTTCTGGACTTCCCGCTACCCTCCGGGTCCTGTGCCCCTCCCTGGGCTGGGCAACCTTCTGCAGGTGGACTTCGAGAACATGCCCTACAGTGTGTACAAGGTGAGAGATGGCAGTGGAGGGCAGTAGAGGTCATGGTGCCCCCAGCAGTACGTGGTGGTGCTGATGCCACAGGATAGACAGGAAGATGACCACCAAGAGGAAGAAGGCTTAGTGGTTGCCTTGTGGCAGTTACTTATGGGTCTGAGGATACTGTGGACTTTCTAAGAGCAGAGACATATATGAAAAAGGCCATGGAGGCAGGCCTGGAGTGTGGTTGGACAGGACAGAGGTCAGGGAGGGCTGAGTTTTCTTGTGATCCCGTCAGTGTCTGTGTTCTCAGTCACAGAGGGGAAGAGTCAGGTTTCATTGTAGCGTGTCAGTGAGGATGGGCTGTGTCTGCTATAATCTCTTGTCAGTGAGGATGGGCTGCGTCTGCTGTAATCTCTTGTCAGTGAGGACAGGCTGCGTCTGCTGTAATCTCTTGCTGCTGTACGGTCTTAGGCCTTGCTGCCCATCACAGGAACCCGAATTCCCTCATGTATGGTGGGGGTATGAAGGAGCACGGATCATTTTCTCACAAGATGACAGCTTAATGATCGTATCTGCTGAGAGAACTTTGCTGGATTGAGAAGATAGGATCATGCAGGCATAAGGTTTCATACCTCAGGCTAGAGATGTGGTCAGTGGTAGAGCATTTTCCTAGCATAGGGCAGGACAAAGGCTTAGTAACAGATACCATAAAATGTGCTTATGTGCAACTACACACATGACACATTACACATGCACACAGACAGACACACATACATGTGTTGTGCTTGGACTGTCCAGTCTGCTAGGGACCTCCATTTTCTAAGCATTCTGAATTTCTGCTTCAGCTTCGTCAACGCTATGGTGACGTGTTCAGCCTGCAGATGGGCTGGAAGCCTGTGGTCGTGATCAATGGACTGAAGGCGGTGCGGGAAGTGCTGGTGACCTGTGGAGAGGACACTGCTGACCGCCCTCCAGTGCCCATCTATGATCACCTGGGCTATGGGCCCAAAGCAAAAGGCAATGAATTATAATGGGGCAAGGGCAGAGAGAATAGGGCTTGAAGAGCAGTGACCAGAAGACAGACAGGACCTAATGGAGGGGATGTGTTTAGGCAATTCAATGGAAAGTCACTGCTATGGAGGGTGGAGCCTCCAAATCTGCATGTGCTGATTGTGATAGCAAAGTGCTGGGGCGCTGATGGCTCAGACTGACCACAGGGAAAGGTTGGGAGCAGGGCAGACAGCACAGCCACGTATCCTTGGTTACACACAGATGTCCCTGCAGGTGTGGCATTAGCACCATATGGACCCGAATGGCGAGAACAGCGGCGATTCTCTGTGTCCACCATGCGAGACTTTGGCCTGGGCAAGAAATCCCTGGAGCAGTGGGTGACGGAGGAGGCTGGACACCTCTGTGACGCCTTCACCAAGGAGGCAGGTGGGTGACGGGTGAGATGTAGAGATGAGGGCAGGCACTTATGAACAACATCATGACTTGCTTGCATCTCTGTTCCTAGGCCAAGCATTTAATCCCACCACCCTCCTGAACAAAGGTACATGCAATGTGATTTCATCCCTCATTTATGCCCAGCGCTTTGAGTATGAAGACCCTTTCTTCAATGGGCTGATCAAAACGTTACAGGAAAGTGTGGGAGAGGACAGCGGCTTCACTGCTGAGGTATGAGACTCGGGCAGTCAGTGTGCATGGCTATTTATGTGCTGTAAAATCAGAATGAATATTCATTCGGGGGGGGGGAAGGTTGAGGGCATCGTGTGACATTCAAATGCACAAAGAAACCTCTTGCCCTTGGAAATCTCAGATAACAGGAGGGGAAGAGTTGACCAAGAAAGGGGGTGAGGCTCTGCCCCCATCTCCATAGAAACCACGTAAGATTGTTAGATGTACAGAGTAGAATAGACATTTTGTTCACCCTGGGCTCAAGACAACCTACAGGAAGTACAGGGGACGCAGTAGGTGATGTTTGGGGACGAGCAGACCCTGAGTCCTCTGTAGACAAGTCTGGGAACTAAAAAGAAAAGGACTGGGAACTGAGTCTGGTCCAGGCGAACACTGAGCAGAGTACATCCAGGGACAAGAGAGATGGCCTATGGGTGAAGGAACATAGCAAGGAAGCCTGGAGATCTGAGTTGGATCCTGGGACTCACTGGGAGATAGATCCTACTCTACAAGTTCTTCTCTGACCTCCAAACAGGAGTCTTTGTGCACATGTACGTGTGTGAATGAACATACAGGCACACACACACACACGATTCTTAATTAGGAATAAAAACACCTAGACTTGTACCTTTGACAGCTGCTGAACACATTCCCTGTGCTCCTTCGCGTCCCTGGGCTGCCTGGCAAAGCCTTCCCCAAGCTGACAGAGTTCATGAACTCACAGGATAAGTTGTTGATTGAGCACAAGGGAACCTGGGACCCTGCCCAGCCACCCCGAGACCTGACAGATGCCTTCCTGGCTGAGATGGAGAAGGTGAGGATAGCAATAAAGATGGGGACAGGGCCTTTGGGCTGAAGTGTTCTGTGACTTGTGATGCCAGGGAAGTGGGGTTCTATGTCATCTATGAACCCAACGCCTGTGGTCTTGAACACAATGGTGGATCATGTTGGTGTTTACTGCCTGTGTCCCTGAGACTACCTTCTCTGTCTGCCCTTTTCTGAGCTCAGGGCAGTAGCCCATTGAAAACCTGAATATGTGTCTATGGTGTGGTGTACATATTTTAATTTGCCAAATTCTGCAAAGTGGAACACATCCATCTGCCAGATTTCATTCCTTTGGGTGCCCTTTGGATTAGCCCCTGCAGGCAGTGGCGTTTGGTTATAGAAAGAGCAAGTAGGGCATTTCTTTACAATCTCCTTAGCTTGTTGCCATGTAATTGAAAACTCTTTCTTCAAACCTTTGCTATTAACATGATGTTTTTTATGAAATTCAGAGGCTTGTAGCACACTACCAATCAATAATTGATCAATTTCTGCATTACCTTGTGCTAGAGGACCTGGCAGACCCGTATGGGATCGGATGTGTGTTATGTACATAGGGCAAAGCCTGTTCCTGATCAAATCTTGAACCTGGAGGAACAATGAGGTTAGTTCAGTATCATCAGGTATAAATTCAGCAGTTTCAATATGTAAAATAACTCTTTCTGCATATTGTGAATCTGTAACTATATTAATAGGTTCTTTAAAATCCCTTAGCACCATAAGAATGGCATATAATTCCGCCTTCTGGACAGAAGTATACGGACTTTGTTCCACCTTATCCAAGTCTTCTGATTTGTAACCTGCCTTCCCTGATTTATTGGCATCAGTATAGAATGTACGGGCTCCAGTTATTGGAGCATCACGGACGATTCGAGGAAGAATCCAAGAAGTTCTCTTTATGAAGTTAAGCCGCTTGCTTTTTGGATAGTTGTTATTAATGTCTCCCAAAAAATTAGCACAAGCTCTTTGCCATGGTTCATTATCTTCCCATAATTTCTTTAGTTCATCAGCAGTGAAAGGCACTATAATTTCTGCTGGGTCTATGCCTGCTAGTTGACGAAGTCTCAGCTTGCCTTTTATAATTAACTCAGAGACTTTTTCCACATAAGTTTTCAGTTTCTTACTTGGTTTATGTGGTAAAAAGATCCATTCCAAAATAATATCATCTCTCTGCATTAAAATTCCTGTAGGAGAAATTTTTGATGGTAGTATGACGAGAATACAATCGAGCTCTGGATTCACCCTGTCCACATGTGCCTGTTGTAATTTTTCCTCAATCATTGTCAGTTCCTTTTCTGCTTCAGCTGTTAATTCTCTGGGACTGTTTAAATCTTTATCACCATCCAAGGTTTTGTTCAAATGAATTATTAAATCAGGTGTTATTCCAATAGCTGGTCGTAGACTGGAAATGTCTCCTAACAGTCTTTGAAAGTCATTAAGAGTCCGTAGGCGATCTCTCCTAATTTGTGCTTTTTGTGTCTTAATTTTTTGCAAACCTATTTTATAACCTAAATAATTAACAGAATCTCCCTTCTGAATCTTTTCAGGAGCTAATTGCAATCCCCATTTAGGTAAAAGTATCTTTATTTCTTCAAACAGTCTGTTCAAGGTATCCATGTTTGAATCGGATAACAAGATGTCGTCCATGTAATGGTATACTATAGATTTGGGAAATTTCTTGCGTATTATTTGCAATGGTTGGTTCACAAAATATTGGCACAGGGAGGGGCTATTTAACATACCCTGGGGGAGAACGGTCCAGTGGTACCTCCTCGAAGGTTGAGAATTGTTATAAGTAGGCACTGTGAAGGCAAATTTTTCTCTATCTTCTTTTTGTAAAGGTATAGTGAAAAAACAATCCTTTAAATCAATAACTATGAGAGGCCATCCTTTTGGTAATAAAGAGGGCAAAGGAATTCCAGATTGCAGAGGGCCCATAGGTTGAATAACCTTGTTGATGGCCCTGAGATCTGTCACCATTCTCCATTTACCTGATTTTTTCTTAACCACAAATACAGGAGAATTCCAAGGGCTGGTAGATTCTTCTATATGTCCAGCATCTAATTGTTCTTGTACCAGCTGTTCTAAAGCCTGTAACTTTTCCTCAGCTAAAGGCCATTGCTTTGTCCATATTGGTTTCTCAGTCAACCATTTTAGAGGCAAGGCTGTTGGTATCTCTGAAGGGACATCAATTGCTTGTTGTTGTACAGCCCGAATGGCTGGTTTTCTCCGTTTGTAATATCTTTTAATATTATTCTCAGAAATATAGGCTCTAGATTTAGCAGGAATGTTGATTTCGGTATTCCATTGTTGTAATAGGTCACGACCCCATAAATTCATTGTGATATTGGCTACATATGGCTTTAATTTTCCTATTTGTCCCTCTGGCCCTATACATTCAACCCATCTCGTGCTCTGCCTTACTCGTGATAGGGTTCCAATTCCCAGGAGCTGAACATTTACATTCTGAAGAGGCCAATACGGATGCCAAGATTCTGGGGTAATGATACTTACATCAGCACCTGTGTCCAGCAGGCCAGTAATAAAAATGCCATTTACACACACTCTCAGTTTAGGTCTTTGATCATTTATAGAAGTTTGCCAAAACACACGTAACTTATCTTTCTGATCATTATTGCTTGTAACAGTAGGCATGGGGCTTCCTAATTGTCCTGATGAGGCACGTTCTCTGCAGAAACTGGATATGACTGAACTATGTTTGCCATGGGGGCCTGTGAGGCCCCCCCTCTCACGTTTCCCGGCTGTATCAGGTTGCCTTGTCTATCTCTTGTAGACCTGCATTCATTCGTCCAATGTCTGCCCTTTCCACATCTTCTACATAAACCTGAAGGCTGAGTCCTCCTATTTCTGTTATTTCTAGAAGATGCATTATTATTATTATTTCTGAAAGATGCATTATTATTATTATTATTTCTGAAAATCGGTTGTCTACAATTCCTTTTCATATGACCCATTTTGCCACAATTAAAACATTTGGTATTCTGGTGTTTCCTTTTACCATTGGAAATTGCTTCTTCTACCCATGCTTCAGTGCCATAATCAAATGTATCAACATTGAGTGTATGCAAGACCCATTCTTCCAACGGCGCTGATCTGAGCTTTAAAGGACCCAAAATCCTTTTGCATTCCACATTTGCATTTTCATAAGCCAAAGACTCAATCATTATACGTCTTGCTTCTGGGTCAGATATTCCTATTTGTACAGCCTTAGTTAATCTTTGTAAAAAGTCACTAAAGGGTTCTCTCTGACCCTGTTTAACTCTGACAAATGATTCCATTCTCTGTCCTGGGTCTTGTACCCTGTCCCAAGCCCTTAAGGCTGCTGTAGTACACATGGAGAGTGTGTTTTCATCCAAATTAGCTTGTTCCTGAGGATCGGAAAAGGGCCCTTCACCTAGAATTTGATCTAGGGAAATGTCAATTCCCTTCGCTTTTTCCTGCTGTTCTAAGAGTCTAGCCTCTTGCCTGAATAAGCATTTCCATTTCAATTGCGGTCCACTCTCGAGTACAGCAGAGCTCAGCTGGAGCCAGTCCGAGGGGGTTGCTCTGCTTGTCATAGCCCAACATCTTAGCATCTCTTTAACAAAAGAGGCTTGCATCCCAAAAGTCATGACAGCCTGTTTTATTTCCTTGAGATCATTCATACGCACAGGCTCCCATGTATCCTCCTTGATGACCCTAGGGTTTTTGGAACCAATCACCTTCTCTGTTGTTATTACTGGAAAGGCAGGTAGAGCTGTAGGTAGAGCTTTGTGGAAATTGTCCCGGAGAGACTTACCCACAGATGTAGTTAAAATTTGCCTTTCTACCCTTTGCTCTTCTTCATCAGAATTTAGAAATTCCTCAATCTTTTCAATTCTATTCACCATTGCCTTCTGCAATGTCTGAATCTCCTGTCCAGAATTATGTTCCAAAGCCTTCACTGAGGATTCTAATGTATGAAGTTTATCCGTTAGAGATAACATCTCATCTTTGGACATAATTTTTATGGCATAAACCGTGCCTTCTTGTATTGACAATCTTTCCGTCAATCTGTCATAAACTTTAGACAAAATCCGATTGTCACATTCAGCAGTTTTGATTCTCTCAGTTAATGTTTCATTTCCTACAGAAAGGGACTGAATCTTATGGTCCAGATCAGCTGTTCCCTCTTCCATAGTAATGAATTTCTCCTTAACATCAGCCTGAAGAACTTCAACCTGATTCTTGAGAAGATTGTTATCAGCCTGGAGAACTTCAAACTGATTCTCGAAAAGATTGTTATCAGTCTGGAGAACTTCAACCTGATTCTTGAGAAGATTGTTATCAGCCTGGAGAACTTCAAACTGATTCTTGAGAAGACTGTTATCAGCCTGGAGAACTTCAAACTGATTCTTGAGAAGATTGTTGCCATTCTCAATTGTTTTTAAGCGTTCAATCTCGACCTTAAGAATCCTGGATTCGTCTCGTAAAGACTTTATCATATTTCTATTATCAAACCATTTGGTGCCAATGAAAACTACGAATCCCAGAAGGATCCATATATGTGGGGTGATAGACACCTCTTGTAAAATCTCCCACATGGTACAATTAAAAAAAATCATTAAATTCTTGAACAGTAATGTGTTCAGACATTTTATTTATAAAAGAAAATTTTTTTACCTGCAAAGATCGGTTCCTGCCAGTGGTGGTCTCTGTGTTTTTGGAGCCTGTCCTAGAACTAGCTCTTGTAGACCAGGCTGGCCTTGAACTCACAGAGATCCGCCTGTCTCTGCCTCCCAAGTGCTGGGATTGAAGGCGTGCACTACCAAGGCCTGGCAGGCCTCAAACTCACAGAGATCTGCCTGCCTCTGCTTCCCAAGTGCTGGGATTAAAGGCGTGCTCTACCACTGCCTGGCCGGCCTCAAACTTGTGATCCTCCTGCCTCTGCCTCCTTCAGCAAATCCTACCGGCGTGGGCCACCACAACCGGCCAAGTCACTTTGTAACAGACCAAATCTGACGCTGTGGCAGCTTTTGTTGCAAAACCGCAAGTACTTGAGCTTCTGCTAATTCAGGCAGTGGTGTTCCGCTGCAAAACTTAGCCAAGGCAGGCAGAATGGGCCTGTGTCGCCGAGTGTGTCTCGGACTCGGCACTGGGGCCGGAGTCACGAACTGAAAAACAGCACCGGGGAGGGTGCTGTGTTAGCTAGCGGGCTACCCGCTTGAGTCGGGGGCAAAATAGCCCGACTTTGGACGCCAAAATGTAGCGGCGTAAACGAATGCAGACAGAGTGTAAAAATATATATATAGCTTTAATGTAGAAATAGACTTACAGAACCACCGTTCCCGCGGAGACCAGGAAAGCAGAAGCAAGCGCTCGGAGCTTGCGCGCCAAATTTATAGGCAGACATTAGCCCGAGGCGAACACGCCCCCTAAGGGGCGGGACTTATCCCTACAGTACAGGATATGACAATTTTGGGTGGGGTCAACTGGGTGCTTTTATTGCTTCTCTGAGCTGGTAGACTTTGACCCCAGCATCTGGCTCATGAGTATTTATTGCTAAAGTGAAAACAACATCTGAAAATTTTAGAACCTTGCTGAGGTAGAAAGCTCAGAGCACCCTGCAGAGCCACATCTGTTCTGGCCTTCATCCACCAGAGGGAGCTGTGTATCTAGGCCTTGGGAGTGGCCTTCTGGGAGTCAACTGCAGGAGGAAATGCTTCAAACTTGACAAAGCTCTTACAACACAAGGGGAGATGTGGATCAATGAAGGTCAGGGTTTCTAGAAAGGGACAGAACCTGTGCCACTGTGTACATGGAAGCCACAGAAGCCTGTAAGATTTTCAGTGTAGAATATTCCTTCTAGGCTGGGCGGTGGTGGCACATGCCTTTAATCCCAGCACTTGGGAGGCAGAGGCAGGTGGATCTTTGTGAGTTCGAGGCCAGACTGGTCTACAAGAGCTAGTTCCAGGACAGGCTCCAAAGCTACAGAGAAACCCTGTCTCAAAAAACCAAAACCAAAAAAAAAAAAAAAAAAAAAAGAAAAGAAAAAAAAAGAATATTCCTTCTATTCACCTTGGCTGCAAGAACCTAAAGGCTGGACCTGAGACGGGTCCAGGTGGACACTGAGCAGAATCAGCACCCAGACCAGCCATATAGTCAGCAGTAAAGGAATTTTCCATGCAAGCCTGCATACCTGATTCAATCTCTGGATCTCATATTGATTGGAAAGAACTGAGTCTGTAAGTGTTTATTGTCTTCTACATTCTCACAAGGGCTAGTACACCTACGCACATACACAAACCAAGCAACTCTTATGCCATACACACACTTACACATATGCATGCACACTGTGCACACACTCTTACACATATACACAGCACTATGAACATACACTCGCATACATGCATTCATATGGACACATTCATATAACATGAACACATACCATGCAATATGTATGCTGTGATAGAGAAAGACAGTGCAGAGTTTCCTTCATCTCATATTCTTGCTGAAGCCATTTTAGGTTTGATTAAAATTTGATCTCCTTGGTAGAAAACTACCCAACTTGCTTCTAGGGAACCTGAGGTAAAGAGGCCCCGGCTAGATTGTTTTAGCTTCTTACTGCCTTCTTATGCAAACCTCTGTCCAGCTAACTGCTTATCTTGGCTTTGTTAAACTGCTTGCTTGTGCAATAACTCCCACAGAGTTGCCTAAGACCTAAGTAGACTGTGGATTTTGCCTTTAAAAGTCCCTTTTTCTAAATACACAGTGCTACAGTTAGGTCTCGAATACCTGAGTGTAATCCCAGCCAGCTGAAGTAGACTTTCAGTTGTCTACAGACTGTGTCTGAGGGGTCATCACTAGTGGGTTTTCTCTAACAACACTGTGCACGAAGCCACATGCACACACACTTGCATAAATTCATAGATACTTACACATACCTGTCCACACACATTAATAAGAATAAAGGTAATTTAAAAGCTACTAAAAGGAAAGATGCCTTCAGCTACTCTCTGTGGCTGTCATGTGTGTTGAATGCAGTTTCATTGCTCCAGCATATCCTATGGCATCTTGGCAAAGACTTCTCAGAGCACAATCCATTTACGGGTTTGCAGTAGAGTCTGTTGACTGAGCCCAGATGATCTGAGTTCCTGTCCAACCACCCTGAGCCCTGACTGATGCCTTCCTGACTGACGTGGAAAGGTGAGAGCTGTGGGTTGTAGTGCTGGGTAAGGACAGGCAGGACAGAGTCTGTTGTCACACTTCCTGGAGACAATGGAAGGTCATTGTAGGCTTCCATCTGTAGCATGATTAATAGAAGCCCAGAGACAGATAATGGGGTTCAATCTGAAGGTCAGAAGAGCAAAACAGCCAGTCAGTGGCTCTTACCTCTACCTCAGTCTGAAATGATGATCCTGCCTCCAGGAATCCACAGAATGAGACTGACTGAGAGCTGTCTCCTCCTATCTTATATTCTTATGTAGGACTGGGATTAAAGCGTGCACCACTTTTGCCCAGTTTCTATGGCAAATTAGCATGTCTACTGTGATTAAAACTGTGTCTTACCACTGCCTGGTATGTAATGCTGATCAGGGTGGCTGTTTTACTCTCTTATCCTCAGGCAAGCTTTATTTATTAAAATACAAGTGAAATATCACTACATTTCCTCTTCTTGTCTAAAATAAAAGATGACTATAAGTAATATGAGATAAACTATATACAATAAGTACTATGACTATATTCAATATATACAGGCAATAAATACATCAACAATGTCCCCTCACTTGCGTTCAACATTTTCAGCCACAGCACTCCATATCTATCCTAGATTAGTGAGTCCAAGGGCTTATACTAATTTACTTTCAATCATAACTTGCTTTCTGCAAAGAAACAAGGAAAACTATAACTATCTAGTCTTCAACTTCCTCAGAGACCCAAGAAGGAAACAATATCAGCTGAGTAAGCAGGAAGTGTGAGCAAGCAACTTCCAAAAATACGTGAGTAGTGACGGGATCCAGGAATTATATGTGAGGCTGATTCTAGTATTTTACTTATGTCATATTTACATATGTCATACCGCATGAACATAAGCATACGTTCTGTGGCTTGTGTTTCCGTAGGTAACATCCTATCATACCATGAGGAGTGAAGTAACCATTCCGGTATGGGAGTTTCATGAACACCAAAAAACAAAACAAGAAACAAAACCCCAGGCCATCCTTTGCCCAGATGAGCTTTCCCAACTCAACAGTCTGAGTCACAATGACCCCAATGAGTCATCACTCTTCCCAAGCTGACTGGCTTTGCACTTCCCACCATGCTTAGGGAAAGAAAGCACAGAGCTAGGAATGGTTGTAGTTGTCACTGTTGGTCTTCACTCCAGTGAACCCAGGCAGTTGAAGCCAGCAAAGGGAAGGGCACACAGGACAGTCCAGGAGAGACATGCCTAGGTTCCATTTGTTTTTTTTTTTTTTAGAGGAGTCCAAAGGACAGTGATTAACTATCTGTTGAATCTGGGAACACTGCTGGCCAATGACAGCCAGGGACTCAGTTCCACCTTCCTGTTGTAGACATGGCACATCATGCAGCTGACATGGATTCCAAGACCCCAGTCCCCATGGAAGTCACACTGATCTTACAGGACACAAGTGCTCACGTGGCTGAGGGGCCATGGACCGAGGAAGAAGGGAAGCAAACAGTGCTAGCAGGCAGATGTTACCAGAGCATCCAGGTCATCTCCCATGAGATGGTGACAGACCAGGAACCTGTACAACATACAGTGTGTGACACCCCTCACCTGCTCGGTGCACTTGCCTCTCAGGGCCTCACTCAGCCTGAAGTAGGAAGATCAGACCCAGTCAGCACCATTGCTTCTATTTCACGTTATCATACGTGACACACAGAAGAGAGGTGGAGACCTGAGGAGAGGCAGAAGGTGTGACAACTAGCATCCAGGCCTAGCCACTATGTCTCTGAAGTTACCATGTGAGCGTCCTGGAGCAAGCCAGGAGGAAGCCACCAGCCTGAGCCTATGAGTGACCAGAGCACAGTTGTCTCTGTCCCCCCATTCATGACTGTGACCCAGGTTGGTGTCCTGACCCCATTCACAGGTCTGTTCAGGCCAAGTTGGAGCTGGACAAAGACACTTGTCTGTGCTCCAACCTAGAGCACCATCCTCTTGATTAATAAATAAATAGGTAAATTTTAAAA